ATGCAGGCGTCTTTGCGGTACTTTCATGTACAGCAGTCCGATAGGCAAGCAAGAAGAGAGGTATGTAAGTGTCCCAATCTCTCTGATGGCTGTCAACCACCTTTGCTAAGTGTCGCTCCAATGTTTGGTTGAAGCGTTCGACCATTCCATCTGACTGTGGATGATAAGGGGTCGTTCGAGTCTTATGGATTCCCAAAAGTTTACAAGTTTCCTGGAAAACTTGGGATTCAAAGTTCCGTCCTTGATCACTGTGCATCTCCAAGGGCACTCCGAATCGGGTGAATACCTCGTTTACCAACTTCGTGGCTACAGTTACTGCCTCTTGATTCGGTATGGCAAAGACCTCCGGCCATTTTGTAAAATAATCCATAACCACTAAAACGTAGCGATTGCCCGAATCAGTGATTGGAAATGGTCCAGCGATGTCTAAGGCTATTCTCTCCCAAGGCATACCAACATTGTAGATTTTCATCGCCCCTCTGCTTCTTGTTTGTGGACCCTTGACAGCTGCACAACTAGTGCATTTCCGGCACCAATCTTCGACGTCATATTTGCAATGCAACCAATAAAACCTCTCCTTGATCTTCACCAAAGTCCTCCTAATTCCCAAATGTCCTCCAGAAGATCCATCATGGAACGCTTTTAATACATCCCTTATTTTTGAACGAGGCACCACCAATTGCAAATGCTCGTCCTTGCCGTTTGTTGATTCCCATTTCCTGCACAGAAGTCCGTTATGCAGCGTAAGGCTTTTCCACTGTGCCCATAAACCTTTCGTTACCGCGCTATATTGGGCGACGTCACTCCAACTTGGCTTGTTACCACTTCGTAGCCACTCCAGTATTGGTTTGATATCTGCATCTCTTTCCTGTTCTAATTTCATCGCATCGTCTCCCCATGCCTCGTCAACAGTATCAGTCCTTATCACCTTAAGAAAAGCAGTTTCCTTCTTGGCACAATGCTTGCAATCTTCCACGCATGGGCGTCTCGATAATGCATCTGCGTTGCCATGAATTCTTCCGCCGCGATGTTCGATTTCAAAGTCAAATTCCTGAAGTTGTTCCAACCATCTGGCTACTTGGCCTTCGGGATCCTTAAACTGAAGTAGCCATTTCAAAGCAGCGTGATCAGTTCTGATCAAAAATTTCCGTCCCAGTAAATACTTCTTGAAATGGTGCAGAGTTTTGACTACGGCCAGCAATTCCCTCCTGGTCACGCAATAATTCTTCTCCGGCTTGGATAGTGACTTGCTGAAGTAAGCAATAACCTTCTCCTGCTCACCATCGCGTTGTGAAAGGACACCTCCTATTCCAATATTGCTGGCATCCGTATCAACTACGAATATTCCTTTCGCGCTGGGGTATCCGAGAATTGGTGTGTTACAAAGCCGTTCTTTTAGTTCTCGAAAGGCTTGCTCACAATCCTCGTCCCAGATAAAGGCACGTTTCTCCTCTGTCAATCGATGCAAAGGCTTGGCAATGTCCGAGAATCCTTTCACAAACCGCCGATAATACGAGCACAATCCAAGAAATGCCCGAACTTGCGTTTTGTCTTTAGGTGTCGGCCATTCCTTAACAGCGGCAGTCTTGGCTGGATCAGTCTCAATTCCTCTCTCAGAAATAACATGTCCTAGATAATTCACTTCGCGCTTGAAGAAAGAGCATTTCTTTGGACTCAACTTTAAATTTGCTCCACGCAGCTTATCGAGTACCTTTTCCAATTTCCTTAGATGATCGTCAAAATCCCGTCCAACAATGATGATGTCATCGAGGTAAACTAGGCAAGTTTCGCCCAGCAGTCCCGCCAGCACCTGTTCCATCAAACGCTCAAAGGTTGCCGGTGCATTGCATAATCCAAATGGCATCACCTTAAATTGCCAGAGTCCCTTCCCAGTTGAGAATGCGGTCTTTTCCTTGTCCTTGGGATCCAAATCCACCTGCCAATAGCCGCTTTTCAGATCGAGCGTTGAAAACCATTTCATGCCACTCAGTGTGTCAAGTGTGTCATCGATTCTTGGTAACGGGTAGCTATCCTTCTTGGTTACATCATTCAATCGTCGATAGTCTACGCAAAACCTCGTTGAACCATCTTTCTTCTTGACAAGCACGACAGGTGAACACCAAGGGCTAGAAGAGGGCTCTATCACGTCATTTTTCCTCATATCGTCAATCATTTCTTCAACTTCTTTCTCACGAGCGAATGGTATACGTCTGGGCCTTTGACGAATTGGCATTGTATCACCTGTGTTTATTTTATGCTTCACCAAACCAGTTCGGCCAATATCACCATCGCTTCTTGAAAACACATCAGAGAATCGAAGAAGTAAATTTCTAGCTTTCATAGTCTCCACTTTTGTCAGACTTTTGTTTTCGTCTAAGATTTTCGTTACAAAGTCTATTCCCGTACTGTCCTTCTTCACAAGATTTTCCGAGCATTTTCTTATCCAGGCCACTTCTTCCAATACGCCCACAGGCTCTCCTTCTTCAATCGTAATTTCTGAATCACTGAAGTTGAATACCGGAATGCGGTTAACATCAGATGACCCCACAACAGTTCTTGCCGGTAGCCATGAATTCACGTGTTCCGATTTATCAATCACAGCGCACCTTCGAGGTAAACTTCCTTCCCTCCTCCTAGGTAATGCGATTGGTACGAGAGTCTGTGATTTTGGTGCAAGAACAGTTCTTCTTAAACAGCAAACTTTTCCCAGGGTTCCACCCTTCATCGGAATTTCCTCAGTTCCACATAGTAATACTCCAGATTTTAAGTCGATGTTACACTGGTGCCCTTGCAGGAAGTCAAGTCCCAGGATGCAGTCATCCAGAATTCTGGCCACAATAACCTCATGTCGATAAACACGTTCCCCAATTTTGATTGTTACATGCAGTTTTCCACTTATCGGTATGCACTGGCCGGTAGCTGATTTCATTTGTAGGCCAACAATTGGTTTAAGGTGTTTCCTGATGTTTTGCTCGAGCAGCCGAACATTTATCACCGTCCTTGAAGCTCCAGTATCTAATGTTAGCTGACTGTTTTTCCCATTTACTTGACCGTCTATCACCAGGGTATTTCCATCGTTAGTTTGCTTGATGTAGATTGTTGGGGTTATTCCACTACCAGCCAGCGCCCACCCCGCAGCCTTGGCTGGATTTAAGTTTCCCTGCTGGTCAGAAGTTGAGACCGCCGCGTCCTTGCGGTTCATCTTCTTCGGGCAGTCGCTCCGTATGTGCCCACGCTCTCCACATCCATAGCACATGAAGTTCCGACGGCGTGGAGGTACCTGCTCCGTTGTCGTCATTTCCCGCAGACGTAAGGTACGGGAGTTGCCACGCACGGCTTCCACTTCCAATGCATGGGCCAGAGCTTCTTTCATGTTCTTGTTATGGCCCAGATGAACAGCAGCTCGTACTTCGGGGTCCCGAATACCGTCAATGAACGCTTGGAGAAGCGTGCCTTCAATCATTGACGGAGTCGACCGGAAAGCTCGACGCACAAGTTTCTCGATTTCCACGGACCATTGCTGTAGACTCTCATTATCACGCTGAGTACGCTCTTTTAATTGCGCTCTGTACACGTGCTCGAGGTGGCTGTCTCCAAAACGTGCCTCAAGTGCGTCGAGGAGGGCACTAAAGCTGAGATCTCCACTTGCGCCGATAGCTTCCAGCACTGAGAGCGCTTGATCACGGAGGGCCAGGGTGAGGGCTGACTGTGCTTCCTTCTGAGTCCAACCATAAGCCTCCATAAGTGTCTCAAACTGTAGCTTGAACGCGGTCCAGGATGTTGTTCCGTCGTAATGGGGAATCTTGAGCCCTTTCGTTGCGCTTAAGGCCGCATTTGGGGCGTCAAAAACGGCTGCAAGACGGCTTCGGCTCTTTAAAGGGCTTGGGTTTGTCACTTCCTGCTTGATTTTGGAGATCTCTTCTTCCAATCTCTCCTCTATCGCCATGACGCGATGTTCCAACTTGCCTAAACCTTCCTCCACTTCTTGTACCCGTTTGACAGCCTTTTGCAGTCCCTTCGTGAAATCTTTATGCATGTCTTCCAAGCGACGCACTTGCTCCTCTTGGCGACGAGCTTGATCTTCTTTCAGCTCCCGCAGCTGTCCTGACTGACAGCGTGCTTGCTCTTCTTGGCGGCGCGCTTGCTCTTCTTGGCGGCGCGCTTGCTCTTCTTGGCGGCGCGCTTGCTCTTCTTGGCGGCGCGCTTGATCTTCTTTCAGCTCCCGCAGCTGTTCTGCCTGACAGCGTGCTTGCTCTTCTTGGCGGCGCGCTTGATCTTCTTTCAGCTCCCGCAGCTGTTCTGCCATCATTTGCTGCAGCTGTAGCAGAAGATCCACCTGCACAGGCTTGGCTTCTGCATCGCTGGTTTGAGCTGCAGCACCCTCTTCTCTCACACGCTGCGCTTCTGACATAGCACGGGTACTCACTCCTCTTACGTCCTGCGGCACTAGCGGCATTTTTCTCCAATCCCACTTCTGACACCAAATGTTACGTGCCTGACGTCACGTTCCTAACTATGCGGGCTTGGGTTACGGGATTGGATGAAATTAAACACTAATACCGGTTTTCAGACTTTCTATTGCACTTAAGTGACAGCGTCCACGGATACGGATAAGTTATCGGCGTTCCTCTCCAGCAGAGTCCGGCCGACTGACACAACTTTGCCGTTCACTGTTCACGCTGACTTAACTCACTTAACTGACTGCACTTCACTATTTCACTGTACTTCACTATTTCACTCACTTTTCTTCTTTTCACTTCTTCCTTTTCTTCCGAATCGCTTTGGACTTAGAACTCAACTGCCAGCGGTGAGCCGCAGTTCCGCTTATATACCCCTGGTCAGGTTCTAGAACATTCAATTTCGTTATTCTTTTTGATCGTCATGCCTCCAGAACCTTCCAATAATTTCGTTATTCATTTTTATTTATTCTCCTTCTCGCTCCTTAATTTTTCATTACTTTCACTCAAATATTCCAGAAAGTTCGACAAAACTTCCATCAACTAAAAAACTTCATGTTTACGGCGGGTCTCGAACTCGGGGTCTCTGTGGTGTAATCCACACGCCTTACCGATTACACCAACTCGTGTTGACAATTCACGACGAAATTTACAATCTCTAGGCAACGTTTGACAACCATCCATTGACGTCATGATGTCAAAGAGTTTTCTGTCACAATATATTAAAAACTTTAACACTAAGCTACATTGAAAACTTTAGATATCTAAACTTTTTATGTAGAGAAACCGTTTTAGTAAAAATAATTAGTAATGTTAATGAATTTATACGTTCGCACATACTTTGTGTACATGCGAATAAGTTGCGCCCGACACCATATGTGTATTCAATTAAATCCTACTGATTGGAAACCTGCCAAATGCAAGCCTTATCTGTGCAATTACTCGGTAATCTGATTTAACGCGATTAGATTACATTTCGAAATAAATGTTAATCTGTATTAATAATATTATAAATCTGAACATTTTTGCTTCACGGCGCTAATCTCAGGAATGACTGGTACGAGTTTATTTTTTTTATATCTGACAGTCATTATCACCATCCTATACGTGTCCACTGCTGAGCAAGGCCTCTTCTCACACGGAGAAGGTTTGAGCATTAACTACCATGGTCGCTCAAGGTGCGTTAGCGATTTCAAACTTATAATCACAAGTCCAGATTTCCCTATAATATTTTCCTTCGCCGTATGTAAGTTGTGTTGTACATATACATATATGACTAGGAAGAAGTTACATTGTTACTTGCCAGGTTTCGAATCCGTACTGTCATGCATGGGAAGTGGGCGCCTTAATCTTAACCTCTATGGCCATAACTAAATAATAACAGTATTAATATACCACACACCCACTACTTTCAAAGGAAAACTTAACTATATGTACCTATTGGAATTATACCGTAGGACAACTATAAGAGGTCAATGTATTCTCATCAGTAATAGGTTTTACCGTCATTTGTCCAGTAACGCAGGTCTATTAGTTTAATGTCTTTAAGGTCTTGTGATTTGTGCATACCTGAACTAAGGCGAAATTGGTTGTGTTTGTTTGTCACGCAACATATAGATATGTTCGCTGACCTTTGTCGGTAATGGTTGCAGGGTAATTCAACAAAAGATTTCTTTGTGAAGATATAGCTTTTTTTAAATTTTTGGTCTTTGTGAACCGATCGATGATAAATAATACCATTAAGGTGTTGCAAAGGAGTTGCTGTTGCATTCCTCAGTGTAATCAATTGGCTACTGAAGCAGTCCGTATTATAACAATACATTTGATCGAAAAAAGAATTTGTGTTGAGCTAATCCAGTAAGGAGCAGTTTTACTTTTTTCAATTACAAGTTGTATATTTAAATTAGTTTTGATATATTCACATTCATAAATACGTTAAATTTAAAAAAATATTTGAATATAAAACGTTGTTAAATTAATTTAACTGTCCGGTTGGCGCAGTGACTGGGCAACTGGCTGCTGCGCAACATGTCGCGGGCTCGATTCTCGCACGTGATCGCTTTGTGTGATCTACATAGGTGTGATGTGTATGTGAAATTGTGTTTGTAAATGCACCTACGACATGGGATACATCCTAGTCAGGTGTCTTTTAAAATAAATGAAAGACATTATATACAACATAGACTAAATCACTTTATCGGGAACTTACATGAAGGTGATGAAAAAGGAGCTTTAAGTTAACGTAATAAAGTATAATAAATCTCACCTGCCACTCATAACGTTGTACAGTATCGGGTTGACAGTAGCCGAAACGTAGTACAGGGCTCCAGCCACGTTGAACAAATGCTCATTTATGACGTGGAACTGCGGCAAGTTGTAGCCGTAGATGAAAAACAAACGCTGCACGTGGAACGGGACCCAGCATACGAAGAATGCTATCACCACAGCAGCTGTGGACAAAATAATGCCTTAATACTTTTTTTAAAACACACCTACGCTGCAATAATCTGAGCGTGGGCCATTTCGCGTGCTTGGACGCATATTTTTCTCCTACCCTCTACTTTTGTGATATTGTTTTTACCTTGCTTAATGTATTTTTATTTTAACTTTATTTTATTATCTTGTTCGTTTTGTGTCTTTTATGCGTCCCAGACGCGAATAAATACTTTTTCTTTTTTTCTTTTCTTTCTTTCTATGGAATAGGACAGTAAAATTTTGGTACATAGGCGCTACATATTCCTATTGGAACTTCTTCTTGAAAACGTATGATTAGAGAATCATTAAGAAACTGTAAGTAAATTGCTACATATTCTTATTAGAATTAACTTCATGAAAACCATTAGATAAAATACACGACACAGTGTAATGAAATAAGATCACAAAAGATAATTTTAAAAATGTTCACTAAATAGCTATTAATTCATATTATTTGATAAATAAGTAGATATAATAATTATCTACGTATATATAATGTAAATAAAAATAATTATAAATATTAAATAAGTGGTACTTCTGAAAATACAATGTGTTAGTAGGTTCGGCAATTGATAATCAAGTTTACAAAAAGAAAATCAATAAAGTTACATACATAATAAAATTTATTAAAGATTTGAGTTAAGAAAGAATACAGCGAAATATTTATATTTTAAGTACCTAACTGAAAACGCATCGTACCTTTTTACTTTGAACTTTATCAAGGAAAATGTCAACAATTTTCGCTTATTCCATAGATATTTCTTGGTCATTTAATGATACCTACACTAAAATCGTTGAAAAAAATTTTTGCCGCGTCTGGTAAAAGCGAAGACAAATTATCAGACACACAAGCAAACAGAATATAATTTGGCTAAATTCCGCATATTATTTTCCGTCGCCGTCACGTCATTCCGGATACTTTTTACTGTGAAACATGATAAACAAAGGCAATAAGGAAAACACTTTTTTATAATAAATTACAAGAAAAACTGCTTAATAGGATGTCATCTCAGATTTTATCATTAAAGCCAACGGGTTTAATCGTTGCCGCTAGGATTTTCTCTCTCATGTGGCGTTGTTCGTTTACAAACATATATTATGATTTCACAAACTTACCACACACAGACTCGAAACAACAATTTATAGATCACACAAAGAGTTGTTCTATACGGGAAGCGAATCGGCGACATGCTGCGCGGCAGCCATTTGCCCAGCCACAACGCTAATCGTGCAGTTGTACTTTTAGAAATGGTCCTCAATTACATATATATTGGATTTTGATGATGTCCAAAAAGTTCGTTAGATATCTATTACCTGCTCTATCTATAAAACCGATATCTATCTCTCATAGATGAAGATCATAACTATCGTGAGACATACTTAAGTTATTCTGTCAGCTCTACTTTTATCTTCCTACAGGACTCTTATTTATGACTAGCTACTCCCGCGCGGATTCACCCGCTGCTCTGCTCCATTTAGTCGTAGCGTCATATTTTATAGCCTATAGCACTCAGGAACATTGTAGCTATCTATCAGTGAACGAATTTTGGAAATCCGACCAGCGAGCGGTTCCGAGGATTACCCCCTATATACAAACTTACATACATACACTCTTAAACTTATATAAATTTTACCTCTTTATAATATTAGTATAGATAAGCGTGCGCATCGCAGCGACAACAGTAAGAGTATCGTTGTAATTTGAAACCAGCAGAGCTTTTCTCAGTTCATTCACGTGAATAAAGCGTTATTTTCAACTAATTTAGTATGCCTCACGATAGGTACTAAAAATTATCATTAAATATGATAAAATAGCGTCATAGTAAAAATGCCCAACCGATTCATCATCTTCATCACCATCATCATCATCAGCCTATAAGTGCCCACTGCTGAGCAAAGGCCTCTTCTCACACGGAGAAGGTTAGAGCATTAATCACCACGCTTGCTCAATGCGCTTGCCCAACCGATTAACATAAAAAAATAGTTCAATATAAAGAGCCAATCATTTAAATTGGTCAGTCTTTTGCAATTTAAAAACTAAATTTCGGAGCAAAGCTAAAAGGTTTCTCATGTTTTTAAGGCAATTTTAGTTTTGCGATGAAAAATAGCTCCTTGTTATTACCAAGTCGTATTGCTGCACAATAAGGATTTTAAAAGGCTTAAAGCTACGAGTAAATTGCTACGCCGTAGCACCGTAGCGAAGTAGCAAATGAAGATAAAATTTTAGGAGTGTAACTTTATGGGAGAGAAGCACAAAGTGATTGCTTTTTATGTGTTAATTATTGAAGTGAATTGATTGTACCTGATTACATAGCATATTATGTACACAAATAAATTTATAATGCCAGTTACTAAGGCTGTTGTTTGTTAAATAACTGTAAAGTTAAACATAGGAATAGCGTTTATATAGACCAAACTGAGTAACTCAACAAGGTATTGTCATTTCCGAATTCGAAAATAAATTTCTTGGAAACTTCTAGATAGACTTTACATAAGATGCACTTGTATTGAAAGATTCCTAAAAACATCCATAACAATTCTTAAACTTTTCCAAACTTGAAAATAAGAAATGGGCTTGAATAATTTAAGAGTCGAACATAAGGTGATTGACCTGTGAAGAAATAAGGAATTGTCGTGCTTCCTATTAAGAATTCATTACAGTGCTTAGCAATGCCTTTCAAAATTAATGAGTTCACTAAAATTCAGGCGCTTCTAAGTATTTGCAATTAAATATATCACTTTATTTGATTAAGGGCTGATTTTACAATGAAACAATGAATTTATTTTTGTAAAAAGACCATAAAACAGCACTTTTACACGTCAAATGTAAAAAACTAGATGAAGCCGGTACCAATTTTCTATCTGAGAAGAAATGCCGAAACAAACTCAGAGGTCCGTCTCAATAGTCAGATAAATGTTATCTGAGGAATAAAATTGCTGCTGTAACTGTCTTATACAAACATTCTGACGCGACAGGATCATAATTATTCCCCAGGGTAACTTTTATCTAACCGTTGAAACATCAGCCCTAAATAACATAAAAATTTACAAAAATATTGCTTCTTTACTTTGTCGAAAGAAACAAATGAAGTGTCGGGCGTTATTAAATAGAGTTTTCGATTATTTTTATTTCTGTACTGGTAAATGTGGTAATTAAGAGACAAGGGCATTTAAATACTCGTAATTAAGAAAATATTTTGTTTACTTTTCACGTCGAATGACTCCACTTTTCGAATTGCCACTTATTTGCGTCAAGGTCCTTTTTGTCTCACTCTGCATCCTTGTCAATATGGAGAGATGGTCGATCGTCAAAAGGTCGAAAAAGTCAAAATCATTTCAATCCAATTGACCCTTACAGGCACTTTTGAAGGTCAAATAAATGTTTGAAGATATAGTGTCATTTTATTGGTCAGTCCTCTTAGTGTGTGATATAAAGTGTAGATTCCGATGGAGAATAACGAGCAAGAAACTCCATGGTTACACTTTTTAAATTAATTTCACATACAGATTCCTTATACAAACAGTTGGTTCAATTATGTGAAAACAGTGTAACACTTATATTTATTCAGAGAAATATAAAAAGAAAATAACCTTAAAGACAATAGACAGTCCGTCTTAGACAAGACTACTTATTGTGCAGCAGAAACGTTTTATTAATCTTAATTTTTAATCTATACTAATATTATAAAGCTGAAGAGTATGTTTGTTTGAATGCGCTAATCTCCAGAACTACTGGTTCAAATTGAACAAATCTTTTTGTTTGTCAGTCCATTTATCTAGTAAGGCTTTCGGTTAACACATCACGCTACGATCTGTAGGACCAGAACAAAAACTCTGGGTAAAACCGCGCGAGAGTAGCTAGTTTATTTATAAGAAATAATTATTTTAAAACATTAAAAACAATTCACATCATTTATGAAATGCAAAGGCTACCCTGCTCCTGGTCTGTACATATATCAGATAATAAAGGCATCCATAACCTTACTTTAATATCGCGATTAATTTAAAACAAATGAAAAGCAGAAAACAATTTTGAAAATAGATATACAATAAAATTTTACCGTGTTGTATACAAATTTTTAAGCATTAACATTCCATTATAATTGGTTGTTTCTTTACTCCAAGATAAGTGGAAATTAGCTATAATTAAAAAAGTAGATTTTACACAGACATTTATTTACCTGCCATGTTATAAAAAACATAGTACTAACAACGTATTTTGGTTTAAGAACAAAGTTTTCTTTTAAATGGCCAGAAGAGAAACACTAACTTTTAAATTGTAGATAAAAATAAAATGCAAATGAATATGCAACAACTTTTAGTTGTACAAATAAACAGACACAAACAAAACTGTTTAGAGTAACTTCAAGCAAAATACTGCAACTGCAACTAACATCTCTTTGGAAAACAATAAAGCTTCAGAGAATATTTAATTGCATCTCAACTTTATTTGCGCTGACAGTAAAATCTGAATCTTTAAAAAACGTTTTTTGTGTTGAAAAACAATGTAATCCAAACTAATATTATAAGAAAGTAACGCTGTCTGTCTGTCTGTCTTTTCTTCACGCCTAAACTACTGAATCGATTTCTGTGTAAAATTGGTACAGACATAGTTTGGAACTCGAGAAAGGACATAGGATAGTTTTTATACCAAAAATCTGCAGGAATTTACTTTTGCATGCGAACGGAATCGCGGGCAAGAGCTAGTAGGTAATAAGTAAGATAGCTATAGTCAAGCAGACATAGCTTTGACTTTATAACTTGATTGATTGATTGATTAACTGTAAAACTATATAGTGTGATTGCGCTGCATATAAAATAAATACATATATTTTAAAAATATTTTGGTATTTTTCATTTCTATTAATCTTTTTGTTTTACAAAAATCACATTTTATGTATCATTTTTGGGTACTGTCCTGGTAGCCCAAAGGATAAGGCGAACACTTCTCGTGACTGAGGCTCAAAACCTGTCAAAATTGGTACCAATGTGACTTTTTCCGAGTTATATGTATTTTCTATTATAACTTCAACAATAGGTGAAGGACAACACCGTAAGGGAACCCAAGCTTGTAATTTCTAAATTATAAGTCTGTAACCGCAAATCCGGCTTCAGCAAGCGTCGTGCTCAAACCTTATTCGTGTGAGAAGAGGCCTTTGCTCAGCAGTGGGCACTTATAGGCTGGTGATGTAATGTGCGATGTTCTTGAACCTATGATATTAAGACTTTTTAAGTTGTGAAACTATTTGAAACTTTTCATGGAATCATTTTAATAATTCTAAGAAGTTAATTACTATTACAAACAATTTTAAATAACAAAAATATTGGTATCTCCGAAATTGATAGAGTGATGTTTTAATTGAAATCAACTTTACAATTAATTTAAATAATCAAGAAGCTTACAATGTTGATTAATTTTTGTTATTTCAATCCTGATAGAATAAACTTAGAATTTCGGGTAAAACAGCAAATCTCGTGGATAAACAAAGTGGTTTCATTAAGTTTTGACTTATTTATTACAATTCCACAGGGACATTAATCCTTACAAATGAATTTTTACTCTAATTTGTGAAAAACACGGGTGAAAATTGTGTAATAGTACACTACATAGTAAAAACAAAGACGCTTTATCTGTCCCGGTATCCCTTTGGTTGCAAAAATCTTCAAAACTACGCAACATTTTTTGATGCGATTTTTTATAGATGGAGTGATTGAAGAATAAGATTTATAAATATAATAACAGTCATAACTTAGTGGAGATATTTAGTATTAGCACTGATCCGTGCAAAGCCGGGATGACCTCCAGTAATACTTACATAATTTAATTTTGTAATCAATGCTTCAAACCAAATTCCACACCTCATCTTCAGCCCATCTTCAGCCCAAAAAATAAGAAAACACTGCGTTCAAATTTATAAGAGAACACCGCTACCCAGTCCCTATCCAAGGCTCTTACCTCCCATGAAGTAGGGCAAATGACAAATGTGTGCTATTCTGTCACTAAGTACCATGTTGGTGTTGATGTCAACATCATCATAAATAATGGCATATTTTCACACAGAAAAAGCATTAATCATCACGCTTGCTCAACTCGATCCTCACGATGTTTTTTTTTACTGTATATCAGATTATTAGTCTAAAAAACTCATACGTTGCTAGATTTCTAACCTGAACCTTCATGCCAAAGAAGCGGGCGTCTTAACCCCAGGCTACAACGACATACCAAACAATAAGAAAAACCCCCAATCAAGAAAACATTGCAAATCAAAATATATGAAAGCTACATTCATTAGAAAAACTTGCTCTAGTACTTAGAAAAACAAGCAAAACTTAAAATAAGTAGTTGTAAATAACAGTCAGTTCATTTTATTGTGTTGACATTAAATCTTGTAAGATCTTCGTTCTAGATTTTATACAAGGTGACTTCAAAGTCTGTCGGTTGTAAAAGTTTTATTATTCGATAAAATACGACCTATGGTAGAACTTGTGTTCAATAACATTCATGGTTACGGTTGACCGAAACTTGACAGCTGAAGGGATCGTATAAATTGTTATTTGCTAAAAATAGAAGAAAAGAAAGAAGGAATACTATTTGTTTCATAATCATAATCATAATCATAATTCTTTATTGCATCCACAATGTAAGATAAGATGGTAATATTATGTATAGTAACAATCATGGACCCTGATGGGCACAGCAAATAGTAAATTAGAAGAGAGGCAGGCTTCTTTTGTATAGAATTATGCACAAGTATTTCATATTCTAAGTATGTATAGTATTGCTATTATATTTATATTTTAATAGGTATATATATATTTTTGTATTTTGTACATTATATTATAAGGTTATTCGTTCTAAATTTTATATAAATTTATTGTTATATTTATTTTATTTTATTGTATTAATTATATATTGTTATATTTTTTGTTATAATTGAGTATTTGAGTATTTTATTGTTCAGTTTTTTACATTTAAGTTACTTTTATATTATCTATATATTCATATATTATTTATTATATTTATATTACTTATAGTTTTGAGCAAGAAAAGGTGTTTGTTAATATGGTTATGTTTGAATAAAATTTATATTTTCAGGTTATTTGTTTATCCGTAAGATATTCATTGATAGTGTAGTATGCTTTATTTATTAATATTTGCTTTAGGGTGTTTAGGAATTTCGTGTCGCTAGGCTCATCTTTTATTTTGTTGGGTAATTTATTGTATATTTTGATGCACATTACATATGGGCTATTTGAGTGTAGTGTCATGTTGGATGTAGGTAGCATAAGCATGTTTTTGTGTCTCAGTGATCTGTTGGTGTGTCTGTCTCCGCGCTTTGTAAAGAAGGTAGAGTATCTCTTAACGAATTTACATATTTCTAAGATGTAGATGCATGGAAGCGTAAGTATTTTATGTTTTTGGAAATAGGGTTTGCAACTTTCGGTTTGCTCTATGTTTGTGAGTATGCGGATTAGTTTTTTTTGCAGTATGAAGAGTGATGGTGCGTCAGTGCTGTTTCCCCACAAGAGAATACCGTAGCTGAGCCGCGAGTGCGCATAGGCGTAGTAAGTACTCAGTGCTGTTGGTAGGTCAGTAGTTATCTTTACTTCGCGGAAAGCATAAATAAATTTAGATAGCTTGGATTTAGTGTTTTGGATGTGTGTCTTCCAGTTAATGTGAGTATCTATTGTAAGTCCGAGTAGTGTGAAGTCATCAACAACATCTATTTTTGTATTATTAGTCGAGAAGTTGATTGTTATTGGAGCTTTTTGGTAGGGGTAAAATGTCATTATTTTTGTTTTATTATAGTTTATTTGCAAATTGTGTTGATCCATCCATTCTGTTGTTTTGTTAAATATGGTGTCTAATTGTGTATTTATTTCTGTAACGTTATGGCATGATGTTAGAAGAGAAACGTCGTCGGCAAATAATATACAGGGTTCGTTCATAATTTTTGGGAGATCGTTGATGTATATAAGAAATAACAGACAACCAATAACGCTACCTTGAGGAATTGACGAGTTTAAAATTTGTCTGTCCGACCTTATACTGACTATTTCATTGCTTTCTTGATTGAAGTACTCAATTTCAACGTATTGTTCTCTGTCCTTAAGGTATGACTCAAACCATTGATGGGTAACTCCGCGAATTCCTATTTTATACAATTTGTTAAGTAAGATGTCAAATTTCACTCTGTCATATGCCTTGGTCATATCAAGTAAAATGCCAACTGCGTATTTTTTATTATTTAAAATGTTAATTACTTCCTGAATATACTTATAAACTGCCAGTGTTGTTGACCTATGTTTACGGAACCCATTTTGACCCTCATCAAAGATTTTGAATCTCTCGCAAAAACTATAGACTCGATCGCACATAGCTTTTTCAAAAATTTTTGATCCTGTCGGCAGGAGTGCAATGGGGCGGTAATTGTTGGGATCCGTCTTCGAGTTTTTCTTGTGAATTGGTTTGACGATAGCCCTCTTTAGGAGATCTGGGAATATGCCTTCTTCGAATGACTGGTTTATTTACGCAAATTGGTGCAGTGAGTTCGTCAGCGCACTGTTTAAATAAGGATGGAGGTAATTCGTCTATTCCATGACTATTTTTATTTTTGAGATTTTTTATTAGTTTGTTAGTTTCGAGGTAGTCTACTGGTCTAAGGAAAAATGTGTTCTCTAACTGCTGAGTTACAGTTATATCACACTGTTGGTTGTTACTTAGGTTCGCGGTATCTTTGCCGATTGATGCAAAAAAATTGTTGAATATATTTACTATTTGTTTAGGTTCAGTATTAAGGACGTTATCGATTTTCAGTTGAATATTTTGCTTTTCAGCTCTAGGATTTTTGTTTGTGCGTTCTTTTATTATTGCCCACATAGTTTTAATTTTGTTTTGTGATGTTTTTATTTGATTTATGTATTGTAGTTTTTTAGCTGTTATTACTGACCGTTTTAGTAATTTTTCATATTTTCTATAGTATTTTTTAATGACTAGATTGCTCGACTTTAAACATAGGATTTTTAATAATCTCTTATTTTTGCAAGATAGTTTAATTCCTTTGGTTAACCAATATTTTTTATGGCACTTTTTTAATTTTATTTTTCTTTTAGGTATAGTTTTATTTAATGTTATTTTTATTATGTTATTGAAAGCTTCGTAGTTTTGGTTGATATTGTTATTGGGTACAATGTGATCCCTCCAGTTTATTGACTGTAGTGCTGCTTTAAATAAGCCTATATTATGTTTATTATATAATCGCTTTTTGATATAATAGACCGTGTTTTTGTTTTGTGACTGCGGTATTTTAAGATTAATAATTGTACTACAGTGGTCTGAGAATCCTAATTCTTCGACTGTCGTTTGCGAATATTTATTATTGAAGTTTGTAAAAATTAAATCTATGCAAGTTGATGAATTTTGTGTTATACGTGTAGGTTGTTTAACGTGTTGTGTAAAATTAAATTCTGACATTAGGTCTAAGAGATTTTTAGTTTTTGTGCTGTTTTGTTGTATATCAATGTTAAAGTCGCCTCCAAGAATTATATCATATTTAGAATACTTTTTGTTTATATGTGTTAGCATTTTATTTAATTGGTTATAAAATACGTCTTCCTCTCTTCTATTCCAGTATATAGTTATTAATAATATGTTTTCTTTAACTAGTTCGGTGGCGCAGGATTCTACAATATATTCAATGGACATTCTCGAGATATCTGTTTTTTCTAAGCAGTCTATGTTTTCTTTTAGTAGGATGCAGGTGCCGCCACCTCCATGATTTTTCTTACACAAAATAAGAGACAGGCACAGAATGGTACAACACTAGAGTATTAATATATGTGATATGGTGTGCGTGTATGTTCAAAGTTCGTGCCGAAATGATTGGAAAGGATATAAAGGATTGAAATTTAAGTGTGGGAGAGCCTTGCTTCGGCACGAATAGGCGGCTCGACCGGAGTGATACTACGGCCTCACAGAAAACCGACCTGAAACAACAACAGCGTTGCTTTTCGCCGTGTGAGTGTAACCGGCAGCCTAATCCTTCCTTTCCCCCAATTACAAAATGTCCAAATCCCCAATCCTTAAAATATTGGCAACGCATTGAACACTTTTTCAAGGTTTATTATTACGTAAGGTACATAGTAAAAAATCTTTAAAATTTGTAAATGGTAAAGGCATTGTTGATATATGTATAATATTACAATGAGAAGTAGCATTGATTTTTATATACAAGGTGTGAAAAGACATTAAACGAAGCCTTTAACTACGCATACTGCAGTTCTAACTAAGTAGCTTTACTCTAATAGAAAATAAAAAGTCATTTTTTATTTGCTTAGTCATAAACAAAAACTCATTTACCACTAAAACCATAGAACAGTTTTCTAAAGTTCAAATGAAAAATTCTATCACTAATACGAAGTAGATTCCAATTAGTTTTCCATTCTCGATCGTTCTTTTATAGTGGCTGTGCAATTCGCATTGATCCTTATTCCGACACTAATACGTAATAGGGTACGATAAAAAGAGCTCTCACACGAACCACTTAGTCTCTGTCGGGCATATCAGTGATAACATTAGCCCAGGAAATAGGGGGCTGGATATCATTTGGCAGGTTTAGAAAAGATCGCTGTTTGAACAAAAAGTAATAGATTTACATATGGCTGTTATTAGCAATAATAATTGATTAGTTATAGCAACAAACATACCTACTAGCTTAATTAGAAAATAGATTGAAATTTTGTACTTATTTCATAATATTAGTAGACCTTTTGCAAGACATCTTCTTTTGTTTGTGATTTATTTACAATTAGGACCCGAGACTGATTGATTTTGGATTCTTATAATTATTGATGAGTGGTTGATGTGTCTTTTCTGATGATTGCGCATTTCTTAGTGTATATGGCACACATAATGTATAGTCGAGTCATGCAACCAGTGAGAAACGTAAGGAGCTAGTAGAATACTAGTACAAACCTCTTTTCTGAGAGGAGCAAATCGTTACATGACGTC